TCCTTCGAGAATAATTTAATCCAAGATCGGATTTTTGCTTTTCCTTTCTCTCTCATAGGCTTTAACTACATCGGGAGCTGTTTCTAGACGTTCAGTTCTAGTAAACCAGCGGTCGTCCTCGGGTTCCTGATAAGCAGATCGGACCTTATACTGTTTCTGTGGACGACCTCGACCACCTGTTCTGAATACGTCTTCACCTACAATGCCCTCAATTTCATATATTCCATCCATGTCCGGAGGGATCATGGATCTTCTTGATGGAAATTGTTGACTTGTGACATATGGCAACAACTCTGACGCATGGAACACAGGGTAGGTGTGGAGGTGTGCTGGGATCTCTATTGTATAGGACGGTCCATCCTCTCTGCCCCTTACCTCTAGAACTGGCCAGTAACTTCTGCGAAATGTTTTCCTCAACTTGAAACTGCGACGGGCGATGATGCTTATTAGCCTGCTTTATCATTCGGTGTTGGGCCTTCCTGAGGTTTTCAACAGCGGTAGCTAATTCCTTCTCGTGCTGTATCGCGAACTCCTTGGTACCGGGCTGTAGCCTATGAATCTGGTCCTGGTTAAGTCCTTCAAACGGTCTACACGGTCTAAAGGACTTATGCAGCTCATTGGGAGTACGACAAGTGGCTAGGTGCACGCTTTTGTTATATCCACTGGCTACCTTGGGCAACATCTCGTCCCAGTTGACCTGATCTGGTCTAATATACATACGCGGAACTTGCTGCAGGATTTCATTCATCTGCTCGGTCTGGCCGTTGGTCTCTGGATGACGGTCAGATGACATTAACAACTTTGACCTGTAACTCTCATTAACTCCTACCAGTTTTGACTTGTAAACCGGGTGTCCCTATCACTAACTTTGGAGAATGGGATCCCATGATCACTAACCCAAAAGTCAAAAAACTTCTGAGGTACTAACTCGGTACGGGCTTCTACGGGTAAGGGAACAAAAACAACGTACTTGCTAAATCTATCCACTATTACCATGACTTGGCTCTTTCCATGCCTACTTTTGATGCTAGCATCCATGAAATCGATGGATACTGAATCTCCAGGCTGATCAGGTATAGGCAAGGGTCGAAGAAGACCTAGAGGGGCAGGCGTAGTTGTCTTATTCCTCTGACAAACTTTGCAAGTGCGAACATACTCTATGCAGTTGGCTTTCATTCCTGGCCAAGTATACACATGCATCAAATTGGCTAGAGTCTTTTGCCAACCGAAATGTCCCTCTGTGTCGTGGCATTCCCCTAGGATCAAACTATGGATCTCCTCACTATTAGGAACGCACAGATGGTCTACTACGTTGGTCTTCTCAAACAGTAAACCTTATGTAGTGCGGTAATGTGGTTCATTCTCTGGTGCCTCCTTAGCTTTTTTGAGGAGGTCGCTATAAATAGGGTCCTGCGCATATGCCTGTCTTACTTTCTCTTGTAGGTCTCTCCCTATATCGAGATAGTGAACTATAGCTCCAGAGTAATCTGATCTCCTACTTAGAGCATCCACAACTACGTTATACTTGCCCTTGACTGGTTTGAGCTCAAAGTCATACTGATCTATCTCAGCGGCCCACCTAGTTAGCTTAGGTGTCATCTTGGCTTGCGTTTTCAGCCACCTAAGAGTCGCGTGGTCTGAATAAACTTTGAAGTGACTCCCAACCAGGTAATGCTTCTAGTGCTCTAAGGCCTGCCTGAGAGCGTAGAGTTCTCTCTCATAAGTCGAGGTAGCCACTTTCTCTGAAGGCATCCTCGCTGACATCAACTCTATGGGTCTATAGCCATTGTCGTCGTCTTGCTACAACACGGCGCCTATACCATACTGACTTGCGTCTGTGGTGACGACAAATGGCAAGGACGGATCTGCAACCTTGAGGACAGGGTACTCTATCAACGCTCGCTTTAACTCCTTAAGAGCGGATGTACAATTTTTGTCCCATTTCCAGATTGCATCTTTCTTGAGCAACCTGCGAAGGGGAGCGGCGATGGTAGAGAAGTTCCTTACGAACTTCCTATAATAGTTAGCTAGGCCTAAGAACAACCACAATTCTGTCATTGTGCAGGGCGTCGGCCAATCTCTAATCGCCGCTATCTTGCTATCCTCAGGCTTACTGCCATTTTCGTCTAAGACGTGGCCCAAGTACAAGACTTGTGTTTTGGCCCACTCGCACTTCTTCGCATTGATCTTGAAGTTACTCTCTCTCAATTTCTCCAAGACCTGCCTCAAATGACCCTGATGCTTTTGGAGGGTCTTACTGAAAACTACTACATCGTCTAAGTACACTATGGCGAATCTATCTAACCAAGGCCTAAACACATCATTCATATAGCGTTGGAATGTGGCTGGCGCATTGGTCAGTCCAAAGGGCATCATGATGAAGTCATAATGCCCATATCTAGTCCGGGAAGCTGTCTTATAATGGTCGTCAGGATGGACTTCTATATGATGATATGCGAACTTCAAATCTGTCTTTGAGAAGTACCTACAGCCCTGCACCCGATCTAGGAGATCCTCTATCCTGGGCAGCGGCTCAGTATTCTTCACTGTAATGGCATTCAAACCCCGATAGTCTATACACATACGCAACTCTCCCTCCTTTTGGGGGACAAACAAAAGTGGTGCTCCAAAGTGAGACGAACTGGGCCTAATCCAACCTTTTTCGAGGAGCTCGTCCAGCTGCCTACGCAACTCCTCTAACTCCCTTGGGGACATTATGTAAATCGCACCCTTAGGGTTCCTACTGCCAGGCTGTATCTCTATACGGTGCTGGATCGGCCGCGGTACTACTCCTATCGGCGGCTCTGCTAAGTCTTTAAACTCCTCCAACAACTTGGCAATAGTTGGGTCCATTGGCTTATCCTCTTTAGGCTCAGTGACAGGCCTCACGTAGGGTACGCAAACCTGCTCTTCTAACTGCTCCTTTCTTACTAGTCGCGCGAACGCGGGAGCACTGAGACAACAATGTGCCAGGGAGTTATCTACTCCTGACACATGGAATAGAAGGGCAATCTTGACCTCGCCTGATGGACTAGGGAGCCTACACATGCTTTCTCAAATGGAGTTTTGCCCCTGCTGCCTCTCCCCAGTCCATACCTAGGACCACATCAAACGGGAGGTTGTCCTCTACGAGGAGAGTAAGAGAGTGGAAAACTTTCTCCACTTTGCCATCTTTCTCTAAGCGCAGATACGCCTGGACTCCCTCGACGTAATCCTCAATACGCATCGTGCCATTGTCTGCGAGGATACTGACTATGGGGTCTTCCAGCTTCTGGATTTTCAGACCTAACCTCAACTTCTTTAGCGCTTTCCTGCTGATATAACTACGGGTAGCCCCTGTATCTATAAGGGCCCCTACTCTGCTCCTAAAAACTTCTAAATCTACTAACACCAGTTGTCCTTAGCTCTCCTTCTTCATCTTGGTCGAGGCCGGCATCCTCTCTTTCAACTCCTCTGCCAGACCTGCGAGGGAAGTGCCTAGAGAGACTCTAACACAGGCAGTCTCTGGACAGCTAACTAGGCACTGGCCTGCAACCTCTGCCATAGGCTCATGTGGTGTGGGAGTTTCCTGGTGGTGCACGCACACTTCCCCACATGGCCTAATGGCAAGGGCAGTTGCGACCCCTTCCGGCGGCTGCCTTTTGACCCCTGGGCAGCAAATCGGGCTTCCCTATACTTTGGACAATATTTAATAATATGGGCAGGGTCAACGAAGTAGATGCATTGCCCTTGCTCCATTCGCTGCTGCCATACTCTCTGATCTAAGCCCAGATCTTCCCAAGGTCGGCCCTGTGGCCAACCCGGGTGCCAACCTCCTCGCCGTTTAGGTGATCCTCCACCTCTGCACTGTGGTGATCGACTGGGCCCCGAGCGATTTGGCGGGGGACCTTGACCCTTCTCCCTCTTGGCGGTTCCTTTGGCCGCCAACCCCCTATGCGCCCGGACCTCGACCACCCATGGCCCGGCCCCCTTGGCCTTGGCCTCCTCCTCTAGCCTGCGGCCTCGCTCCAACCGCGACAACAACATAGGTCCTCCCTTGGCCTACACTACTATCTTCCTCCTCCAACCCCCACTCGATCTGACTGTAGGGGACTTCGTCAGTACCACCCTCATTTAAAGTAAGGATCAAGTGATCCTTTACAGAGATGGTACGACGCTTCCACTTCTTTCCCTTGTCTAAATCCTTATGCCAGAAAGTGGAAACTAGCATGGATTTTGCCTCAAACAGGACCACCTCTCTACTAAGCGCGTCATACGTAGTAGTGGCCTGTTGGGTCTTCTCAAAGAAGTGCCCTCGTAAGGGCTCGGGCATGGGACGATAAAACAAGTTAACTAACTGGGTCTCAGTGACCCCGTGGTCTGGGATGGCTACCAGATCATCCATAACTGCCTTGAGTGCTCTCACACTCTTCCACTGTCGTTAGTGGATTGTTTGCAGTTCGTCAGAGGCCTTGACGCCTCGCGTGACGTCAGTGAACCTCTCTTTAGGAGTTTGAGAAATTTGGGAAGAGGGGTGAGTTTGGAGTATGCAACCATATTGTGTTCACAATCGACTGCTCGCGCGAGGGACCTGGCAAAACTGGCCGCTTCGTCTTTCAACGCATGGAAGGCCACGAGGACTTGTTCCTCTGGAACTATGTGTTGCAAATACACGTATGTGTTGATACTGGCCTCCCAATTATCAAAATTTTTGTCCTTTTTCCTTCCATAAGAGTCAGGAAACTTGAGCTTGACAGGCTCTTTACGGGGACGCCCTTCACTATCTGCAACAGCCACTACTTTGGAGCCTTTAATGGCGCCTGCGCAGAATTTCTCTGCGCTGTCCCTTAACTTTTTAACTTTGGTCCCGACATGAGTCATTACGTCGCGCGCGAAGTCCCTAAAACCAAAACGAATGGAGTGGAGGGCCATTTCTTGGCCCCTAACAGACTGATGAAGCTCAGTCCAGGCCCTACCCAGGAGCTCGATGCTCCCAAGGATCTTATCTAACTTAGCCTGAACATCAGGCTGGGCCTTTACTTCCTGTCTACACATCTGTAGACTTTCCACCTCTCTGGCAATCTTGTTGGCTTCCTTCGTCCTCCTCTTCTTCTCCCTTGCCAGGCATAACTTCCAGTCCAACCTCTTCTCGCTCTCTATGGCCTGGCGTTCGAGGGGATTGCTCGTTGCCTCGATCTCCCTGATTGCTGCTTCCTTCTCCTCGTGAGGTATATAGAGCATCGCCTCTTCGTCTTCTCCCAATGACAAATTAGTCACACACTCACTTATCCTCTTCTCGCGAAGTCCCTAAAACCAGAACGGATGGAGTGGAGGGCCATTTCTTGGCCCCTAACAGACTGGTGAAGCTCAGTCCAGGCCCTACCCAGGAGCTCGATGCTCCCAAGGATCTTATCTAACTTAGCCTGAACATCAGGTTGGTCCTCTACTTCTTGTCTACATGTCTGTAGACTTTCCACCTCTCTGGCAATCTTGTTGGCTTCCTCCGTCCTCCTCTTCTTCTCCCTTGTCAGGCGGAACTTGCAGTCCAACCTCTTCTCATTCTCTATGGCCTGGCGTTCGACGGAATCGCTCGTTGCCTTGATCTCCCTGATTGCTGCTTTCTTCTCCTCCTGAGGTATATAGATTATCGCCTCGTCTTCTCCCAATGACAAATTAGCTACACACTCACTTATCCTCTTCTCCACCCCCGGGTCATCTTCCTTTGTACCACTGCTTCCTTCTCCTTCCCCCAGTCTTCTCCTTCTGAGGGGCTCTTCGTCCGGTTGCTCTTCCTCCTCTTCTTGCTGCAACCTTTTCATCTCCTCCTCCAGCTTCTTTTTCTTCGCCGCCTGATCCTCGGCTATCATCTTCATCTTTGTTTGCCTATGGAGCTCCTCCTTCTCTTTTCTCTCTCTGAGGATGGCGGCGGCCTGCTCCTCTTGGGCTGTGCTATATGGCATGGTGCTCTTCCCTCTGAGAGTGTCAACCATGGTGATAAGTGCACAACCGGACAACAGTTCCAAACCTCACCACTTAGACCTCGACACCTGACTGACTAGACCTATAGACTCAATCTTAAGGACCGCAAAACCCAAGTAGGATCCTGTCAACTAGGGTCTCTAGCCTGGACCTAAACTATGGCTGTCACTACAAGACTCATAGTTGATCAGGAGGCATTTAAGGAGATCCCCCGTAACCCCTCAGGAATTATTTAATGCCGCAAACAGGACGACGCGATCAGCAAGTCCTCTCAATACATAGACAGCCTGTTGTGCAGCCCACAGCTCGGATTTTGTGCCTACTGTGCCACACCGAGCAGCCCGCCGGTCAGTACCGGTCCTTGGGAGGGTTCGTGTCCTCCGAGACAGTCGAGTCGTCAGACACGGCCTTCAGCCCTACTCAGCCAGTGTGGGTTTGATCAACAAGGCTCTATCCTTCATACACAGAGTTCCTATCACTCGACAAAAGAGAATCAATGCACAAAGGAGACAAACAGACTCATCAAGGACCATAGGGTGAGTGCACATCCATAGGGCGAGGGGATAGGCTAAGGGTTCGGCGAGAATATACCAAATCCAGCTTGGTCAAAGTTGCAGTCAACAGCCTTGATCAACGCTGGTCAAACCCCCGTTCAACGCTCCGGTCAGACTTGGTCAATGCCCGAGTCAACGCCCAAGTCAACGTTCAAATCAATTTCCATCAACCTCGTGGTCAACACCTTGGTCAACCTCCAACTCAGCTATGGCTGCCGCCTTCTTCTTCCTCACCACCCTTCTTCTTCTTCCTCCTTCTTTTTCCTACCTCGCCTTGCTCTTCCTTCACCCTGGCTATGTCTTCCCTCTTCTTCTTCGCCTCTCCCTCCTTTCTCGTTCGTCTTCTTGCCTCCTTTCTCCGTGTCCAAGTTCTGCGGCTATGGCCGCTTTCTTCCTCCTTGGACCGCGCAACCAATCT